AAAGTAAAACTTTATTGGATGCACCATATTGGTAGTGAAGAAACAAAACCCACTCTGATTTTCCTGGGCAAATGCTTGCCTAATTAAACAATGGTTTCCTCTTCTCCCCACCCTGGGTGATCACATTGTCCAATTATGAGACATTCTTTTGTTATGGGAACAGTCCATCTCTTTCTCAAGCACCCGCATTAGTGACCTTGATGGTTTCTATGGTCTCACAATCTCTGCATACATTCTCGGCATTCCATTTCCCCTTTTCCTCTCCCCAGTTCATTGGCAAGTTGAAAAGCATTAGGGTTTGAAAGAAGCAAAGCGATTCAATCTTGACAGGTGCTTTTTCAAAAGACAACTGGACTTTGTTTTAACTTGAAGATCTTTTATCTTCTCATCCGAGAAGCTTCTTCATTTCTGAGAAGCCCTATCTTCTCAGATCAGCACATTGAACACTAGGCTGGTAAGAATTGTTTTTAAGGCAATCTAAATGCATATATTATTACAGCAGCGGAGGGCAAGATTAACAAGTCTTCCCAGCATCTTGGCATGAAAATAATGGGGATAATATAAATATTATGGCTAGATTTAGAGGAATGCCTTCGCAGGGCATAGATTCCATCCTGTTTTATGACCAGCCTCTGAGATAATAACTTCATAGTGAGAGAATAATCAAAATTGCCAAGGTTAGGAGAGAGGGTAACTTGGCTCATATATAATGCATTTGTTCAGGACACCAGAGGTCCAGGAGAAGAGAAGTCATCTATATTTCTAGTGTGTGAATATGTGCCAGTTATTTTGCATTCTTGTATGGTACTTCAATTGGAACCATATTAATTTCTTTTATAGGAATTGGATGTCAATAGATACAAAGGAAGTTTTCTCCGAGACATTGGGGGCGACATGATGGGTTGTGATGTCATGTATGAAATGATGGAGGATGTCAGGTTGCAACTGAGGCAAGTTTCAAAATGTGTGTTTTCTGATGATAGCAATAGCACTTAGGCTTATATACCTCTTCATAGTCCTTTGACAGCCCTCTCTAAGCAATTTACAAAGTCACCATATTGTCCCCAACAATCTGGGTCCTCATTTTACCCACCTCGGAAGGATGGAAGGCTGAGTCAGCCCTGAGCTAGTTAGGATCAAACTCCAGACAGTGGGCAGAGTTGACATGCAGTACTACATTCTAACCACTGCACCACCACAGAAAGGAAGGAAGGGAGGAAGGAAGGGAAGGAGGGAGGGAGGGCAATAGCCCTTAGACTTATATACTGCTTCACAGTGCTTTACAGCCCTCTCTAAGCAGTTTACAGAGTCAGCCTATTGTCCCCCAACAATCTGAGTGATCATTTTACCCACCTCGGAAGGATGGAAGGCCGAGTCAACCTTGAGCCTGGTGGGATTTGAACGGCCGAAATTCCAGGCAGCCGGCTGTCAGCAGAAGCAGCCTGCAGTACTGCATTCTAACCATTGTGCCACCTTGGCTTGGCTCAGCTAATGCAATGATTGCTATGAAATCTGCGGGTTTCATCAGAATTCAAAGAGCCATGTTGGCGCACCTGGGAAACCCCGAATCTGAAAGCTCCCCAGTTTTCCCCACCCAGTTGAAAGTTCAAGATCTTGCCCCCACCCCACCCACAGGCCCATCACATAATCCAATCTTCCACTGCCATGCTGGCAGTTCCACCCGTCCAGTTCTGGGGAGAAGGGCATGGGCACATTCGTGGGGTGGGCTAGTGTGTTCGTGCGCAGGTGGGGGGGTCATGAGTGCATGCATAGGTGGTGGGCACACATGTGTGCATGATAGCACGAGCCCACACAATTTTGACACACCTTTAGAGAAAGGTTAGCAATCACTGATATAGGCTCTCCTGCTTGAGCAGGGGGTTGGACTAGAAGACCTCCAAGGTCCTTTCTGACTCTATTATTCTATGTTCCCTATCCTAAGGCTTAATGTCCAGGCATGTAATACTCACAGGCAGAGCATCATACCAGAGAACATGGAGTACAATTTCAGATGGCGAGGAGAAAAGATTTACTTTAATTTTCAAATTCTTGATGGCATCATCTTCCAACACTTGAATTCTACCATATGTTACTTTATGAGCTAGTCATTCCAAACCATTCATTTTCAATTTACATGGTCATAAAGCAGAAAACAAAGCATTATTTTTATACCGCTCTCTTGCCAAAGCAAAATAAACACCTCGGCACGTATATTTGACTCTGCGAATAAAGCGAAACCTTTAAATAGATATTTAAATGGGTGCTATTTTAAATCTGCTTATGCTATCTAGTCTACAGAATTAAAAAGAGAGAAAGAGAAAGAGAGAGCTTGATGGACCCACCGTTCCACATAAATAGAAAAAAAAATACAAGTGGAAAAATTTACAACAGATGGCGTATGCAAGATATTTTTTTACACAAACATTTTTTACAGGTGAAACAGATAGCAATGATTTTGCTCATTTTTTTTAAAGCATCTGCAATGATGGGAATTCACAAAGAAGGGGAAACAATGTTCTTTGCTTTTAGGTTGGTACAAAATAAATGATTCTGTACAAATAGACCAGGAACAATTGTGTTCAGAAATACACAACAGATGTGTTCGGATTGGTAATGTTTGTCACAAGAACAGGCTTGTTGGAAATAAAGAGAAATTTCCTTTTCGTGATATAATGTGGAGGTATGCAATTATCCACAGAGTAATGATGGTAAGATTCAGTAGAAGTTAAACAAAAATTTGACACCGTATTTCAATAATTGCTTGCCTCTAGATTGAAGTCCACAGAATTCAAGGATTTCACGGAGTTCACACCAGCTATATTCTCGCAGCACATTTAACTAGGTCCTTCAAACAATGGGCNTTTTTTATTTATTTTGCTTTTCTTTTCTTTTTTCTTTCATTGTAAGCCGCCCGGAGTCCTCCGGGATTGGGCGGCCTATAAATTTAATAAATGAATGAATGAATGAATGTCCTCTTGGATTTTAGTCTTTATTTTAATTTTCCATAATTATTTTGTATTATATTTTTAAAAACTTTTTTATAATTCTATAAGCTGCCCAGAGTTGCTGCAACAATGAGATGGGAAGCATGTAAATTTAACAAATAAATAATATATAAAATGTGTCAAGTAACTAACCTGCAGCAGAGTGACATGTGGAGCGCATCAAATAACACTAGAGGTGATCAAAATAAATACAGCAATGGGGGAATTAGAGCAGCTGTCACCCAGAACATATTTTCCCCTTATTACAAGAGCTATCACAGTATTGGCTTTCAATTAATATCTGAACTGAATTCAAAGGTCTCCTGTTTAAGATCTTTAAAATCCTGTTGAGTTTGGAAATGGGGTAACTTATAAACAATCCTCTTCCATAGGAGTTACTCGTTCCTCATAATCATCCACAAGACACATTGAACCAGTATTTCACTCCTTTTTCATTTAACAGAACTTATTTATTTATTTGTTGTCACCTTGATCATTTCAAAATAGATAGATAGATGCTAAATAGATGATTGATTTCACTTGTTTTAACAATGTTCTGCAGAGCTTGTGGGTTTCCCCATTGGCTGGAATTTGCTCCACCATCTCTTGAAATTCAGTTGATGTAACATTCATAGGTCTCTAAAGGGGATTTGTGCCTTGTTGGCTCAGATGTCTTTTGCCTAAGACCGTGATGGCATGGGTGCCAGAGGTGGCACGCAGAGCCCTCTCTGCTGGCACGCGCGCCATCACTCCAGGTCAGATCTCTGTGGCGTTTCTTTCATGAGCTTCTGTTTCCCTGCAAATGATGAAGCAGAAGCTCGTGAAAGAAAAAGATCTTACCTCTAGCTGCGCTGCCGGTGTTCGGATGCCCATCTGCTGCACATGTGCACATCCATGCACATCCATGCATGCATACGCCCACATGTCCATTTATGGACATTTATGCAGGTGCATATACCTTTCATGCAGACGCACACAGTTTCTAAAAGGTTTGCCATCACTGCCTAAGACCAGTGAAATGGAAGCACCCAGCTGATTCCAGTTTATAATGCAAGTCGGGTTGATTTGAACTTCCTTGGCTCCTTATAATCTACCTGTGGAAATGACTTTAGCATTCTCTTTGCCTTCTCTCCCTTTGGCATTTTCTCTAGGTCAAATGATTTAATTTCTCTTTTAAATTAATCATCCTGGATTGCTATTTCTGCAAATTCAGTTGTGGTTAGTTTTTACTATCCGAACACGCCAAGTTCTTAAACAAATTGACAGTCTTGTAACCAATCACAAATAGAAATAAAAATCTTCAATACTTTCCCTATAAAAGATGTGGCTATATGAATGTTTGGGTAACAGCAGGGGTGGGCTGCTGAGGGTTTGTATGGGTTCGGGAGTACCTCTAGCTAAGAATCTGCCCAGTTCGGAGAACCCGCAAATCCCACCCATGGCTGGCCCCACCCACCCTGCCCTGCCCCTCCCACCCTGCCTCTGCCCTCCCAGGAGTCCCCACACAGCCTGTTTGGGATGCCAAGTAAGTACACAGCCTCAGGACCCCGGGGGAGGACATTTTCAGTCTCTGAGAGGCTTGAGAAAAGCCTCCAGAGTCCAGGGAGGGTGAAAACACCCACCCACCAGCTGTGGTGCAGGAGACTGACTAGGCCATGCCCACCATGGCCACGCCCACCCTGCAACCAGGCAGCGAACCCGTTGCTAAAATTTTTGAAGCCCACCCTGGGTAACAGTATATGAGAGCACACTATCGTCAGGCCAAACCTCACGGAAAAGAAATAAAATCCAGGTATACAATATTATTCTGAAACTTGTCTTTTCCCTCCAAAGCATTAGCTGTCCTTGAAACCACTGGGTGAGTGAGTAAATTAAACACTCTTTGCAAACAATGCAGAGTCTCATTTTTAAAGCCTGCTCCACGTGGCACCAACTCTCTCTTCCTTCCCAATTTTGAAAACAAAAACAAATTCAGTTGCAGAAGTTGTTGCATTCTTCCAGGCTGTTCATACATACCTCTGTTGAAGGATAGATAAGAGTTGCTTGCAGTGATTATCTCCATTTTTAGAATACCCTTTCAGCACTTGGTATGCCTGATCATGCTGAAACACAGCACAGGGACTGAGTCACTTAGAAGGTTTAACATTTCACAATATTTCAAGCCTACACTAGGACGGCCGGTTATGTTGTTCTGGCACAAAGCATTTGGAATTGTCTGTACCTGCCTGGGGTGTGCTATTGTGTGTTTGTGGGTAGTGCGGGAGGGGGGAGAGGAATGAGTGAGTGGCAATGATTCTTCCCAGCAGGAAATATTGGGAATAAAGGAGCGGAAACTTAAAATAATAACTTATTTTGTAAACTGATGAACCAGTGAGACTATACAGTGCCCAGATTTGCACAAGAATGAAAAATTCTTTGCACAAGAATGCAAATTCTTTCCGCTACTAAGGTGCAACAATTTTCAGTATCTGATATTCCATCCAAGAAACTGAATTCCCGGCCTACGCACAAAGAGATGTATTTACAATATCACCACACCTTTTTTTTTTTAGCATCCACACAGTAGGTGGCTTGCTCAGTTGCCTCCCACTTTCTGTCCTTAATGTATGAATGATGTTAATTTTTGAAAGCATTCCAGCTTTAATAAAACTGAAAAGCACAAAGCATCAGAACCTTAACCAGCTTGTACCCTCATGTAGTGGATCCAGATCAAGCAGAGAAAGACGAAGATTCTGTTAACTCTATCCAAAAATCCTTGTAGACTTGCTGTGAAATATTTGTAACTTGCAAAGATCAAAATAGCAATAGCACTTAGACTTATATACCGCTTCATTTCATTTATTATTATTATTATTAAATAATTATTAAATAATAATATTATTCATAGTGTCCCCTCTAGGCATTTTCCAGATTCAGCATATTGCCCTCCCCAACAATCTGGGTCCTCATTTTATTGACCTCAGAAGGATGGAAGGCTGAGTTAATTTTGAGTGGGTCAGGATTGAACTCCTGGCTGTGGGCAGAGTTAGCCTGCAATACTGTATTATAACCACCCTGCCACCAAGGCTCAAATACATTTGATGCTGTAATATATGGATATTATCCTCAAGGATATTAATGTTCCTCATTTGTTTTTGCAATGCATCTACCCAGGATAGAGGATTGAGGGTATGTTTCTTTCAGGTTGTTGTCCGGTCAAAATCACCCACTGATGAAGCTCAGAGAAAAGAGTTACATATGGTTGTGATAATTATTTGAAATAAAGGTTCTAGCAAGGATTAGAATCTTATTGAGGCAGGAGAAAAATATGACAAAATCAATGATTGAACAAATAAAGTTTTCCAACTGTTAGGAAGGGCACTTGCATTTCATTTTCTATAACTGTTCCAAACAATCAGAGGAAATTTTGTCTTAACGCTGCCTGTAACTTTTTTGCAGACTTCTTGACCTGTTATTTGAATGATAAAGTGTAGTCTTTAGAAAAGTTAGACACTTCTGATGTGGGATACAGGTGGACAAATATTGGTTGGCAGAGGGATATAGGAAGCTTCATAAATTTTGGACCTGCTTTGAAAGGGGGAAAGGAAGCTATTGTTGTTGCAACAGCAATGTATGGCTGTGAAAGTTGGACCATAAGAAGGGTTGAGCGCCAAAGAATTGAGGCCTTTGAATTACGGTGCTGGAGAAGACTCCTGCAAGTCCCTTGGACTGCAAGGAGATCAAACCTGTCAGTCCTAGAAGAGATCAATCTGACTGCTCTTTAGAAGGCCAGATCCTGAAGATAAAACTCAAATACTTTGGCCACCTAATGAGAAGAAAGGACTCACTGGAGAAGAGCCTAATGCTGGGAAAGATTGAGGGCAAAAGAAGAAGGGAACGACATAGAATGAGGTAGCTGGATGGAGTCACCGAAGCAATAGGCATGAGCTTAAATGGACTCCAGAGGATGGTAGAGGACAGGAAGGCCTGGAGGAATGTTGTTCATGGGGTCGCGATGGGTCAGATATGACTTTGCAACTAACAACAATAAACTAGGGGGGCAGGATAATATGTGTTTTCCCCCTTTTTAAAATTCATATTTTTTTCAACATTTTTGTTTAGTTTTTTCTCTGTTTAATTTTTCTTTCTTTTGGGTTTTGTATTTTAACCTTTTCAATAAAAAATAATTTTTTGTTTTTGTTTTTAAGGAAACTTTAGGATGGTACAATTCGGAAATGGGCCCAGGGCACAATTATCAAACTCCTTCAACTTCACCTTAGATTACTTAAACATTATTCATCCGATTGTTCCCGTCAATTGGATAACTCCCCCACCACCCACTGGTTATTTTTGGGTGCAGGTTGTCTGCCAGCGTTTCCCATAAATTTCCCACCTACTAGTTTCAGCCAAGCAAAGAAGAAAAGAGCTGTTCAAGGAGAGGGGAGGCTGAACTGGGAAAACAGGTTAAGTTTGGGCAGGAGGAGGATTCTGGCAAAGCTGTGTTTTTAACACGAGCATTATGTTAGTTTAGTGTGATTAGTGTGATGTTACCCATGTCATAGGAGCATGGGGTTTTGCATGATTGGGACCAGTGGTGGGTTCCTACTGGTTCGGCCTGGTTCGGCTGAACCAGTAGTCGTTTGGCGGCCTGGGTCACTGGAACTGGCAGGCCTGCCAGCGCCATAGGTGCCGTCATCTTGTTTTTGGCTTCTGTGCATGCACAGAAGCATTTTTATAGTACTGTGCATGTGCGTGCAGCTCGCATCAAGTGTTGCACATGCACAAAGCGCGCACACACACGTGCTGCACGACCATGAGCAAACCAGCAGTAGCGGCTGCTGGAACCCATCCCTGATTAGGACGCTAGGTTGGAGGTTAGCAAGCCCAGGTTTGAGACCTGAGTGCTGCCATGGGGCAGGGTGAGCTCTCATCTTTTGCCTCCAGTTTTTGCTGGGGACATAAAAGGAGTCCCCAACTAGGCACCCCACCAGTGGTGGCTTTCAATTCATTTTACTACTGGTTTCCTCGTGCGTGCATGCACAGAAGCATCTGGGTGGGTGGGCGGGGCCTTCAGCAGCCGCCACTACCGGTTCGCCCGATCCAGGACGAACCGGCAGAGACCCACCTCTGCACCCCACCCCACCCCCAGCAACAGTGATGTCACTGGCTAAATCCTTTCATTCTTGAAGTGCCTCGGTGTTTTTAACACAAGTGAAAACAAAACAAAACAAAACTTTCAAAACTTCAAGAACGCCCACCAGCTTCAAAGACGAGACTGAAACCAACAAACAAAACATTCAGGAAGCTGCTATGCTGCTTGCGCTCTTTCCCACTGCGTTTCTTCTCCTGCACTTTCTTTTTATCTTTCATAATCAACATCTTCATTTTTCCAGGTCATCTCCAGAATGGACCTCATCAGAAAATCAAGATGCCAGAGGTGAAGAGTAACATCCCTCCGCAGGTTAAGTCTGCACAAAAGCAACTGAGATGCTCATTGTTATCTTAAGGAGGAGTGAGCAAGTTGGAGACAGAACATCTGAAGAGTAAAAAGATAAAGAGGGAAGGGTACTTAGTGCACGCAGAAATCTATGGCCGGCTGCTCAATCCAGAAGCCAGCTTCCAGGTAAGAGCCCTTAAACAAGTCCTGCAGGAACAAGGAATTCTTCCTGCTTGCCTCCAAGCCCTTTGGAAACTGTCCCCTTTCCAAGCAGACATCCAGTCTTCTGGTCAAAGGGGGGAAAAAACAGGAGACAATTGCACAGAAAGGCCCAGGTTCTACTCACCATGCAGCCAGCAAGTGGGTTCTTCATTCTGAGCTGCCTCCTATTGCAGTAGCATTTCCAGTTTGGTCTAAGACTGAGGCTGGGTGTTTCACAGCAAGCAATGAGGTCAGATGAGCAAAGCAAATTCAAAGTAATTAAGGGACTAGCCCAATGGGTGATGTGATGGTTATCCAGTGTGCTTCCTGATAGACGAGGGAAAACCAAAAGGCTTGAAGAAGTTTGGAGATTGATTTCTGAGCATGTTTAAAATGTTTTTTTTTATTATTATATGTTTTATTGAGCCTTCATCTTTAATAAACATAAAAAGTCAATGTCTATTCCGTGTTTTCCCCAAAATAAGACAGGATCTTATTTTCTTTTGACCCCCGAAATAAGTGCTGGGCCTTATTTTGG